TTCCTGGATTTCCCGAAGCACGAATCCCTCCATTTCCACAGCCACACGCACGAAGTCATGTAATTTACAGAACTTGCCGTGTATGCCCTAAAACATACAGGCCCGCCGCCATGCGGCCTGATATCAACGTGTGACCCCCTAACCCTCAACCCTAAACCTCAACCTCATGCTCCAGATACTCAAGTTGCATGGCTTCCCTTCTAGCATCGCGTGAGCCCGGCTGTATAGTAGATTTTACAATGGCTTAAATTTGCTTTGTGGTGCTAAACCCTAAACCCTAAACCCTAAAGGGGTGTTATGGTGGTTTATTGGGTCCTATGGTTCGAGCGCTTTCAGTATCCATGACCTTTCCTGTCATGGTAGCCACGAGACAGACCCAGTTCGAAGGTGTTTCTTGTGACGTCCTCCAACCCGAACGAGTCTGAGGTGTGTACTTCTCCCTAAACCCTAAACCCTAAACCAGACTTGGAACCCTGGGCCAAAAGTGCTCCCGCCTGCCAGCGGTAGTGCTTCTCGAAGTACCAGTACGATCGCGCAAGGTAGAGTAGGCAGGTAACGCTGACAGCCTGTGTGGCCCAAAGCTTACAGAGCAATCTCCTTCGTGCTTGTTTAAGGGATATTGCGAAGCAGAAGGTAATAACCTGATGAGTATTCGGGTCTTTCGGCTGACCATCTACGTAATTATCCATATGTGTATGTATGTATATATATATATATATGCAGCTATGTGTGTCTATGCTTATGTACATGTAATGTATATGCAAATGTGTATGTGTAGTATATTCATACATATATGTATAGTATATGTACGGGTATACGTATGTATACATGTATGTGTATGTATATATGTAGATGTACATGTGTAGCCGTGTATATATATATATACATAGCTGTTGATGATTTGTGTATGCATGTGTATGTAAAGATACTGCATGCTTGCATACGGACGAACGTACAGGCACAACTATGCATGCATGCATATGTCTCACTGTGTTTGTCGTTTTTCCCGTACCGTTTAAAACCACGACACTTCCGGCTTTGGGATTTACAGCTCGGCTACAGCTTCTCCTGACAAATGCCAGATCACTACCACCACTAAAGACGAAGACAGTGCTTCATGTCTGTGGGCCCCTAAACACTAATCCCGAAACCTTTAGCCGCGTTCGCTGCCTGGGGCTTGATGATTTAAGTGCAGTTCTCAGCGTCAGTCGTGCAGAAACCTGAAAGTGTCAGCCTGCGACTTCCACAATTCCAACACGTCTCGAATACTTCTAGAACTGCCTAACCATCAGGCTCCATACATAGTGCCATGATGGAATTAGGTCCAAAAGACCATCCTTGTTCTGATTTTAGGGACCTAATCACATAATGGTACCGTATATGGAGCCTCTGGGTAAGGCCCGTATAAAGTCTTGTAAAGCCTTGCGCGGAGAAGTTTAGGGGGTAAGGCTTCGGATTTCGGATGTTAGCCTTGAGACCAGGAGTTCTGATGTTTATGACAGGGAACTACTGTCGGGGGCTTAGTAGGGAATGGGGGAATGGGTTAAAGTGACTACTACAAGGGACCTTAAGGGACTATCATAGGGATCCATTCCCCCATTCCCTACCAAGCACCAAACAGACTAATAAGTATCCATGTGCATACTTGGGGTTGGGTCTTAGAAGGAGTAGAAGATAAGTAGACTTATCATTCTGAGTTCCCTGAGAAAATCCCTAATTGGGGTTATGATCCGTAAGAGTCCATATATTAACGACTTACTAAGTCCCACGACCCTCCAAGTATATGTCAAATCAATACTACATGGAGACAGAGAGCGGAAGGACGAGGGGAGAGAGGCCTGAATCCTAAACCCCAAAAGCTAAATTCACCCGCCGATCTGAATCGCAGAGGAAGCGGCGCCGGGAATGAAATTCGGAGCCCGTTCCAACAGAATGCCGGTCATGAGGATTGTGTACAGAATGGCCCCTTGCAGCACGTGGTTCCTGGGTAAGCAGACTGGATTGGTCTAGCATATAGCCTTCCTAGGTTCAGGATAAAACGATGGAGGCCTAATGTCTGAAATCTGAAGCCCGATAATAATATTGACAGCCTAGGGTCAAACATATCTAGCCTTGAACGGAGAGTCATACAACCACGCACTCTGATGTGGGGTGGTGGCGCGGTGACCATAATGGATGACAGTGATGGTTTCGGATTTCAGGCTCGTTAGCCACATGTACTACTGTACAAGTATGCAGTTGGGTACCCCAAAAACATAAGAAGACGGTCCTTTTGCTGCATAAATCAAAACTGCTAGTGCGCAGGCACCCTTTTGCAATGCATGGAGTTTAGGGTTTCGATTCGGAGGCTTGTGATATAAGCTGACGCTTCTCTACTTGGGATGGTTAAAGGCAACCCTTTGAACCCTACACCCTAAACCCTAAACGCTAAACCCTAAACCCGAAAACCCCCCTATGCAGAAGTTGCCAAGTTGCAGACCTCCCCCAAACCCCGACCCAAACCTAAACCCAAAACCCAAAATCCTAAACCCAAAGCCCCAAACTCAAAGCCCTGAGCCCCAAACCCCGACCCAAACCTCCGCCCTCTTACGGTTTAGGCTTCCGAACTTCGGGTCCCAGCTTACCCAAAGCCCTGAAGAACAGTGGCCTTAATAATTAGAATAGGTCTGGGGGTATGCTCTACTATAGTTATAATAAGAAGCCCCCCAAATACCTATTCTAAGTATTAAGGCCCCGATATTATGCGGCCACATAGTAAAGCAGGGTTGCTGTCTTCGGAGCTTCCGCCTATTAGTTCTTAGTGTCCTTCGGCTGTAAGGTCCTTCTCCACTAAAGCAGAGCCTCACTTCAAGGACATTTTCAGGTGGGTAGTTACCATTATAGGAGCCGTATAGAAGGTCTATATACCTTATGGAAGCCTTACTTATAGAAGCCCTATATATCCTAAACTCCCCACCTGTAGTTTCCATTAAAAAACTTGTTTGGAAAAGCCTGCATGTCCCTCTGCTGTTTGAGAACCCCCTCCAAAAAACCTGAGAACCCCCTCACAAGCTATATCTAAGCCCATAATTAGCTCCTAAACCCCAAGCCCTAAACCCCTAAACCTTAAACCCCTGCACCCTAAACCCCTAAACCCCAAACCCCAACCTTTGTTTTGCACAGGAACTCCCCGGAACTCCAGGAGCCTGAACCACAAACCCTGCACTTAACCTTCCCCAGTTTAGGGTTTAGGGTTTACTCTTAGAGAACCCGGGCCCTACACCCCACACCCCTCATAGAAGCCCCTCCCGTGAACAGCTGCAAGCGGGGCGCAGGTTTTTGACCCAGAAGTTCCCGCCCAAGTCTGGCTTCCTTGAGTGTAGGGAGTTTAGGGTTCCTAAACCCTAAGCCCTAAACCCTATAAACGCTATAAGCTCTAAACCCTAAGCCCTAAACCCTACATAAATCTTAAACCCTAAACCCTATAAACGCTGTAAACGCTACAAGCCCGAAACCCCATCTCTCCGTCTCCCCTTTATACGTGTAAGGTTGGGGGCTCAGGGTCTAGAGTCAGAGCCTTGGGTGGAGGATGAAAGGATATCCGGTTCAGGTTGAAATACGCCTTCGGGATCCAGGGTTGAGGGTGGCAACCCTAAACCCTAACCCCAAAGCTAATATAGGGGCCTCAGATAATTAGAATAGGGTTTTGGGGTAGATTATACTATAGTTACAAGTATACTATGGTTACAATAAGGAAACCCACAAATACGATTGGTAAGTATTTAGGCTTCTATACTAAGCCTAAGTCAGTCGGTTCGTAGGATGGCAAGGTTTTGGGGATTTCTTGCTCAAGGCTTCCGGCTCGGAAACTCGTGGTAGCATTTAGGGCTTAGGATTTCAGAGTTGAGGGTTTCAGGACTAATGGCTTTGGGGTTCAGAGTTTACTGCTGTAGAACTTACATTTTTTGGGGCAAGGGCTTAAGGTGTTGACAATTTAAGGCCTCAGGAGTTTAGGGGTAAATCTGTGTCTCACTTCCCAGGATGCAAATATCCGTAACATGGCATACATACTTGGCTCGTTCGGGCAGTAGGCCCCAGAACGTGCAGTATGGACTCATGCTGGCTGATGCTGCAGTTTTGTGAGTCTGGCTTTGGCTGAGGCCAGAAAGAGCCAAGAGCCTCAGGGTGAAAGAGTTTAGGGGTTAAGGGCCTTTAGGGTTTAGGGTTTAGGGGCTTAGGGTGTAGGGGTTAGGGATTTGGGGTTTGGGGTTTAGGGGTTAAGGCTTAGGGGTTTAGGGTTTGGGGGTTTAGGGTTTGGGGGTTTGGGGTTTAGGGTTTTCGGGGAGCTGGCCCGGTGTGTGAACCCCACATCCAGCAACATACTAAAGCCTCATCTGCCAAAACAGCCTGACCAACAGACTAGGCTTCACAGGGGAGTATGTTGCTTTTCAGGGAACCCTGCTGCTACTATTTCTTACTTTGCTTTCAAGCTCGCATGTATACGACATGTATGTGCGCATATACATGTATGTATATATGTATGTATG